TTTTCCATACCTGGCAGACGTAGGGCATCTCCCCGGGTTTGTGGGTGTCCTTCATGTGCTGCAGGAAGAGCGGCTCGCTCTCAAACGCCCACTCGCAGATCTTGCACTTGGCTGCACCAAAAAACAGGGGAAAATGGGCAAAAGGTGGGAAAAATGTGGGAGTTGGAGGTGTGGGGGGAAGGGAGAAGGGGGAAAAAGAGGAAAAGAAGAGAGAAAAGCAGGAAAAGGGGAAAAGGGGGGAAATGGGAAAAAGCAGGAAAAGGGGGCAAAGGGAGGGGAAATGGAAAAAAAAGGGGAAAAAAAAAAAAAGAGGGAAGAGGGAAATGGGAAAAGGTGGAACTGGGGCTGGAGAAATGAAACTTGGCTGGGTTTTGAGGTGGATTTTGAGGTGACCTTGAGCAAGGGGTGAGGGAAGAGTGACAACTCTCCTTCCATAAATCCAGGAGGAAAATCCTGATTTAGGGATAAAAAATTCATGGAAAAGCACAGCCTAGTGGACTTTTAGGAGCTGTGCATGTTCTCCAGGTGGAACTGGGAGAAGTGAAACTTGGCTGGACTTTCAGGTGGATTTTGCGGTGACCTCAAGGAAGGGGTGAGGGAGGAGGGACAATTTTCCCTGTCCAAAACCCCGATGAACCCCAGAGGAAATTCCCAGGTGAATCCCAAAGAGAAGCAGGAAAAGCACTGACTGCTGGACTCGTAGGGGCTGTGCACGTTCTCCAGGTGGCACTGCAGCTGGAAGGGCGTGCTGAAGTGGCGGTAGCAGTGCTGGCAGATGGTGTGCACGTCCACCTCCCCGTTCTGCTGGTCCAGCTCCACGTGGTGCTTCATGTGGTTCATGAACCTGCAGCGACGGAATTCCCGGAGATTCCCGTTCCCCATCCCGGGAAAATGCACTCTGTGCATCGCTCCCAGCTCGGTGGTTTGGGCTATTCATGGATTATTCCTGGCAAATTCCTGGATAATTCCTCACTGGGGGGTGTTCTTGAGGCAGTGGTGCCCAGGCTCCAACTGCCTGTCATTCCCACAATCCCAGCCCATTCCCACACAGCTCCCACAATCCCGGGTTATTCCTGGGTTATTCCCAGATAATCAATGGATAATTAGCGTATAATTAACAGATAACAGCTCCCTGGGTGTTGTTCTTGAGGCGCTTGGTGCAGTGGGGGCAGCGTGCCCCCATCCCACTGCCCATCACTCCCACACCGCTCCCATCCCATTTCTGGGTCACTCCCAGGTAATTAATGGCTAATTAACGGCTAATTAAGGACCGATAGCTCACCGGATGTTGTTCTTGAGGCGCTTGGTGCAGTGGGGGCAGCGGAAGGACGTGGGCACCCTGGGGCAGGGTGGCACAGCTGCCCCCTTGCCCCCGTCCCGCCCGTAGTAGAACTCATCCACCAGCATGATCAGCTTGGCCTGGGCGGGGTCGGCCCCGCCCTCACCTGGCTCAGGTGCGGCCTTGGGCGGGGTCGGGGGCGGGGCCGGGGCCGCCCCCTGGGCAGGGGAGGGGGCCTTGGCCGAGGGCGGGGCAGGCTCGGAATCCAGGGATTTGCGTTTCTTCAGGAATTCCACCAGCTCCGGGCAGCAGTACTGTGGAAACAGAATAATTAACGGCTGCTCGCTAATTGAGGCTGGGGTAATTAATGAGAGACAGTGAGCTGGGGCTGGGACAATGAATATGGAGACATTGAACTGGGTCTAGAACGAATCCCCACTTGTTAAACTGGGTCTAGAATGAATCCCCACTCGTTAAGCCGGGTCTAGAATGAATCCCCACTCATTAAGCCAGGCCTAGAGCTCCCCGGTCCCGGGATGATGACTTACACACATGTGGCCCCGCAGCGCCTCGGTGACGCGGAACTGCGAGTCGCACTTGGGACAGACCTTGCGTCCCCCGTCCTGGAAATCCAGGCTGGGAATGGGAGAGGAGCTGCCTGCAGCGGGACAGACACGGATCAGCCCCCAGTGCCACCATTCCCACTTCTCCCCTGCCCCGGACACTCATAATCCCAAAAAAATCCCCAATTTTCACAGCCTTTGTCCCACAAAGCCTCCCAAAACCCCCGTTTTTCTCTTTTCTACCCTTTATCCCACAAAGCATCGTAAACAACTCCTGCCTCCCACGAACCTGGAGCACCCCTCAACCCAAGTCCTGCCCCCGGCGGGGCGGAACTCCCTTTTCAGGGGATTTACCTTTCCGGGGCGCGGCCGAGGCCGAGGCCTCGCTGGCGGGGCCGCGCTGGGCGCTGCCGGGGCTGCTGTTGGGCACGGCCAGCGCGGCGGGGCCGTGTGCCAGCGAGGGCACCGTGCCCAGCGTGTTCACCAGCTTGGCCACCTCGGGGCCGCCGCTGCCGCCATCGCCGGGCACGCCCGGGCGCTTCACGGTCACGAAGCTGGCGATGCTCACTGAGGAGGGGAGAGCGTTCCGTGGGATTCCCGACGGGAACAGGGGTGGGAACTCAGCCACCTCCTCCGGTTCCCTGCTTGGGGCTTCACCAGAAATGGTTTGGGCAAAATTCCAGTGAAATTCCAGCCTGGAATTCTACCCCTGCCACTTGGCCTGGATCTTCTACCTTGAGTCTCCCCCAGGAATGGTTTAGACAAAACTCCTGTGAAATCCCAGCCATGAATTCCCAAACTGAACCACTTTTTTACCCAAACTGCTCCAGATTCTCCTCATTTCCTAACATGTGAATAAACTCTGAGCCAAAAGCGAACTCAGGCCTAACTCCCAACGTCAGCCCCTGGCTCCCACAGATTTTTCCGTGAGAATTCCTGCAGGAATTTGGCTAGGATCGAGAATTTGGGATACAATCAGGAATTTGGGCTAGGATCAGGAACTGGGTGACTCACTCTGCTGGGGCGCCTGGGCCTGGGGCACGGTGCTGCGCAGGGTCAGCGTGGCCGGGATGACCGTGGCGAAGGCGTTGGTGGCCGGCCGGCCGGGCCCGGCGCTGCCCGGCCGCACCTGCGCCACCGGCGAGAACACCTGGGGAACGCCAACTGCTGGTTTAACAAACTGGGTACCTGGGGCTTCAAAGACAAACAGAGAGCCGTCATCCCACCCCAGTCCCAAAAGGAGAAATTTGGGATTTACAGCTTTAATCCAGGTGCGAGTAACCCCGAGTTACGAATCTGTATCTGGAATTAGTCAATCCCAACTGCTGGTTCAACAAACTGGGTACCTGGGGCTTCAAAGACAAACGGAGAGCCATGAGCCAACCCCAATCCCAGGAAATATGGGATTTACACCTTTATTTGGGATAATTATTATTAATTTTATTAATGATGATCACCTGGCACGAGGGCGATGGGGCCCACCCAGCCCATGGGGTTCTACATTGGCCCCTTGTCATTGTTATTACTACTATTATTACTGTAAACTATTAATAATGTTGTTATTGTTATTATTATTATTATTATCACTGCTATCACCTGGCACAAAGGAGGATGGGCTCATGGGGCTCTGCACTGGCCACACCTCATCACCATCATCATTACTAGCATTATTCCCATTACTAGCTATTACTGGATGGTTCTCATTTGATTAATGAATTAATTACCTGGCACGAGGGTGATTGGCCGGACGGTCTGGCCCTGCTGGACATTGAGCACGATGCCCACCTGGTTCATGGGGCTCTGCACAGGCCGGACGTTCTGTACCGGGAACCCCTGGAACCCAAGGGATGCATCAGCCCAAAAACTGTCCCAAACCAACCCAAAACCATCCTACACCAACCCAAAAACCGTCCCAAACCAACCCAAAAATAATCCCTGGAATCCAACGGATCCGTCACCCCCGGGCCATTCCTGAGGGAATTCCAACCCCAAAAAAATATCCCAAACAAACCTAAAAATCACCCAGGATTGGGGTTGGGTTTTGGGGCTTAGGATTGGGATTTAGGTTGGGGTTTAGGATTGGGATCAGGACTGGAATTTGGGGTTCAGGACTAGAGTTGAAGGAAAACAAAACCTCTGGAGGGTTTGAAGTTTTGTTGAGCCAAACACTCAACGGGGTCCAACCCACATCCCACAACCCCAGGGGGATTTTGGCATGACAGGAGAAGCAGCACCCAAACTGGAGTGAGGAATGGGAATTTTTCCCAGGAAAGCAGGGTTTTCCCGGGATTCCCCATGGAGCGTTGGGCCAGGAGCTGACCTGGGTGGTGATGAAGATGGGCTGGGTGCCCGCGGGCGGGTTGGTGCCGTGGTTGGCGTTCTGCATCAGCTGCACCGGCCGCAGCAGCGGCTGCGTCACCACGGCCCCCAGGCCGGGCGCGGGGCTCTGCGCCAGCAGCAGCGACTGCCCGCCCGGCTGGACAGCGGCGTTCCCGCCTGGAAAACAGCCCACAGCCGTGGGGAAACGGGGAAAAGGCAGGGGAAACGGGGGGGAAATGGCAGGGGAATATGGGGGGAAAGTCGGGGGAATATAAGGGAAAATACAGGGGGAAAGGGGGGAAAAGCTGGGGGAATATGGGGGAAAAGGCAGGAGCCAGGAGGAAAGTGGGAAAAGCCAGGGGGAAAAGGGAGAAAATCCAGGGGAATATGGAGAAAAAGCCATGGGAATATGGGGGAAAATATCCATGGCAAAAGGGGGAAAAACTCAAGGGGGAAAGGGGGAAAATCTAGGGGGAAAGTGGGAAAAAATCCATGGCAAAAGGGGGAAAATCCATAGGAAAATCGGGGGAAAATAAGTGAAGGAAAAAGGGACAAAATTAAGTGGGAAGAAAGGGATAATCCATGAGAAGATTAATGGGAATATGGGGGAAAAACATCCGTGGGGAAAGGGGAAATGTAAGTGGGGAAAGTCGGTGGGAAATATTAAAAAGTCACTGAGAAAAATGGGAAACATCAGCGGAAAAAGGGAGACAATGAAGTTGGAAAAGGGGGAAAATTGGGGAAAATGAAGTGGGAAAAGGGGAAATGACCTGTGGGATTTTTTTCTATGGAATTGTAATCCTCCACCACGGAGTCCTCGATGACGTCGCTGATTTTCTGCCATGGCTCCAGCTCCTCCTCCTCACATTCCATGAAAAGGTCCGTGTCTGCCATCCTGGAAAAATGGGGGAAAAAAGGGAATTTGGCACTAAAAAATTCGCAGGGATTTTTTTTCCAAGGGGAGGAATGGGTTGGTTTTAGATCCCAAAATTTCAAGGGAAAACAAAACGAGCTAGAAATTTTCAGATTATTTCTGGGGTTTTTTTCCAGGGAAATTTGTGGAAAAATCCTGGATTTGACAAAAAATTGGAATTTTTCCTTCCTCTTCCATTAAGAAATTCCAGGTTATTTCATAGTTTTAAAAATTTTAAATCCAAAAAAATTAAGATTTAAAAAAATCCCAAAGGATTTTTGGTTATCCCGAAATTCCCAGCTTAGAACAGACAGCAGGAGCTTCAGTTTGGGGGGCTTTTAATTAAAATTAGAATAAAATAAAAATAAAAGCACTGGGAGGAGACTTCCAAGAATTTTGGGATCAAAGGAAAAATTTGCAGGGATAAAACCAAAAATTAACCAGAGCTTCCCAATCTGGGAATTCTCTCCATTGCTTCAGCCTGGGATGGGAGGAATAGTGGAAAATTTTCCTGGAATGGGGGGAAAAAAAGGGATTTTGTTGTCTCCTATCCCACAGGCAGAACCTTGGAATGCTCTCCTACCTCTTCCCAAAAAATTCCTCATCTCCAGGCCTTGAGAAGCTGGAAAAATAATCCCAAAAATATCAGGAATGGTTGGTTTTCCTTGGCTTTGAAGTGGATAACACACCCAAATTGGATGTAAATTAGATGTTAATAATAATTACTCATTCTGTTTAATTAGCAGCCCTAAAGCATCCTGGAATTGGGAAAATTCTGGGAATTTTGAGGAATTTCAGAAACAAAATGCAAATTTCCTTTGGGACTTCACCCTTCACCTTCCCACCCATAAAAAAAAAAAATTAAAAAAAAAAAAAAAAAAAACAAAAAAACAGGAAAAACCTAATCCCGTTAATAAATCAGATTTAACTTGCGCTAATTAATCATTAAAAGCCTGTAAAATCCTTTATTTTGATTTTTTATTATTATTTTCTCCAGCATCTTTGGGAATTTTTCTGGTGGGATCCCTCCCATCCTCTGCCCACGCTGGGATCAGGTGAATCCCAACAAAATCCAGTGAATCCAAATAAAATCGGGTTTTTGGGAAGCAGGATCCCATCCCTCCCCAGCTCCCTGGCACATCCCAGCCCCAGGGAATTCCAGCAAAACCTCAAGCTCTGGGAATTTTCAGAGAAGCAGCCTCGGGGGGGGGGTTTGGGGATGGAATCCCAAATCCTGCTGGAGGGAGGGAATTCCTGAGCCTCTCCCAGGAGTTCTGGGATCCCGGCTTGGGCAGGGGAGAAAATGAAGAGCTTTCCCATTTTGTCCTGCTTGGATCCGGGAGGGACGAGGGGATGGAGCTGCTGCTGAGGGTGACAGGAAAAACTGGGAAGAAGGGTGGGATGGAGATCCCAAATCCCTGAGGAGAAAGTTGGAAAATCCACCCCAAATCCCTGAGGAAAGGGATGGGATGGAAATCCCAAATCCCTGAAGAGACAGGTGAGATCCCTGAGGAAGAATGCTGGGATGGCACTCCTGGATCTCTGAGGAAAAGGCTGGAACACCAGGAAATCCCGAGGAAGAAGGCTGGGATCCCAATCCCAAATCCCGAGGAAGAAGGCTGGGATCCCAAATCGCGAGGAAGAAGACTGGGATCCCAATCCCAAAATCCCGAGGAAGAAGACTGGGATCCCAATCCCTGCGGCCGAGGTGCTCCCTCCCCTCACGGCGCTGGACAGGGGCACTCACTCAGCGAAGGTGAAGCACCAGCAGGCCAAGGATGATGGGGGGGTGGTCTCACCCTGCAAACCGCTGATCCCAGACCCTCCCCTTTTCCTCAGCCTCCCCTAAAAAGCGGGGAAAGGCCGCTTCTCCCGAGAACTCCGGGAAAAGCCCCCCGCACACCCTCAGCGTATTGTGGCGGCTAAGAAAGAGAGCGAAAAATAATCCCCGTGCCCAACATGGCCGCCCACCAGCGAAGCAGCGCCGCCAAAGAGAGGAGGGGGCGGCAGCGCCGGGAGACGGGGGAAAGGACGGACACGACCGCCTCTTCCTCACCCCGGCGGTGGCGACCGGGGGGCGACCGTGATGGGACCGTGAGGGGACCCCCAGTATGGCGGGAGGGGGTGCGCGGAGGGGGCGGCGGCGGGACCGCATCACCACCGCCCCCCTCCCCTGAGGGCGGCCGCTTCACCGCGCCCCCCGGGCCGTGAGGGCTGCGCGTGGATCCCTCCGCGTCCCTCAGCGCCCGCCCGGGCCCGGCGGGAGCGGCCGCCGGAGCCGCCGCGGCTCCTCCCCGGCCCCTCCTCGGCACCCCGAGCCCTCCCTCCTCCTTCTCCTCCTCCTCCTCCTGCTCTTCGCCTCCTCCTCCTCCCGCCACCGCTTTGTGTACGGCGCGCTCCGGCCCTGCCGCCCCCCCTCCTTCATTCCCTCCTTCTCCCCCATTCCCGGGCGGTTCGAGCCGGTTCCACCGTCTCCGATCCCCTCCGCCATGTCCATCTCCCACTACCGCCGGCGCCGCCACACCCGGGGGCCCCGCCGCCTTCATCCCCCCCCCGCCTTCCCCGCGCCTCCCGCCTCACCTTCCTCAGCGCTGCCGCCGCTCGCTCCTACGGGGCTCCGCCGCTCTCCGGCGAGGCGACCCGCAGGGCACGGGGGCAGGTGGCATGAGCCCCCCCCCCCCCACACACACTTGGCGGGATGCTGAGGAGGAGGAGGAGGATGAAGATGGTGATGAAGAAGAAGAAGGAATTATCCCTGGCTCTGCTCGCCCTCTGTACGTTCTGCCAGGGGGCGGCTCCGTGCTTGGCGTGCGTGTGGGTTTTTTTTCCCCCCCTCCTCCACTTCACCCCTCTCGGAAAAGGGGGGGGATAAGAAAAAAAAGGTCGTCGGGCCCGGCGGGCTGATACAGGCGCGCGGCGCCCGCAGCCGCACCACACACACAACACACACACCACACACACAAAAAGGGGACCTGGCCGGCGGATGGATACCACTGACGTCACTTCCGCCTGTGCGCGGTGACGTCACGGGGCCGGACCCTGAGGCGACTGAGGGAGGAAAGGGGAAGGGCGGGAAAATGGCGCCGCTGGGTCGCGACCCCCGCCCGCTCCTCGCGGCTCTCCCGCTCATGGATCCGCCGCTGCTGCGGGGCCGAGGCCTCTCTGAGGTGCTGAGCGCTTGGGGAGCGGCGGGAGAACGGCCGGCGGTGCTTCCGGGCCGGTGTCCCGCGCGGGGTGTGAGCGGCCCGAGAGCCCCTCAGGGCCGGGCGGGCCGTGGGCAGCGGTCAGCCCTCACAGCTGAGGGATGCTCGGGGCCGAAATCTCACACCTCCGGCCTAAATCGTCCGCCTGAGGGCAGAAATTCCATCCGTGAGGGCGGAATCGTCCATCTGAGGGTAGAAATTCTCCCCCTGAGGCTAAAATTCTCCAGCTGAGGGCAATAAAACTCCACTTGAGGGCAATAATTCTCCACCTGAGGGCAATAAAGCTCCCCCTGAGGCCAAAATCGTCCAGCTGAGGGCAGAAATTCTACCCCTGAGGCCAAAGTTGTCCAGCTGAGGGCAAAATCTCCCACCTGGCGCAGGTGTTAGTAAAACAGCCCAAAAACTGAGTGAAAAACAGCCAAAAAAAAAGAATTTAAATATCTTCAATAATAAAGGAACTCTCCCAAAATAATCATTTAAATATCTTTATTCATAGCAGAAGAATCCCTTCTTTTTTTCTGCTTTTCCTGGTGGTTCGTGAAAAAAAGCAGGGATGTAAAATAATTGAAATATATTGGAAATTCCAAAATAAACATTACCTGGAAGGAGGGGAAAAGAGGGCAGATTCATTAAAAATTCCATACTAAAGAAATAAATAATCATTAATTAATAAATTAATTCTCATTAGGGACAACGCCAGCAGGAATTAGGAGTGAAATCCTGATTCTCCAGAGGAATTTTTTTTTTCACCCAGGAAAGCCACAAATATTTTTAAAATTTCCTGAAATCCCTTGGGAGAGAATTCCCGGGAAACATTCCGAAAATCCCGAGGTTTTGAACCAAAACTTCTCCCTCCTTCGCTATTCCCAAATTCCTTCTCCAGGCTGGAAAAAAGTCAGGAAAATTTGGAATAAAAAGGAAAAAATCGGGGGGGAAAGCGGGAATTCCACGGAGGGAGAAGTTTGGAAGTTTCCCTTTGGCGTTTTAAGGCGGAATTTTGTTTTTTCCGCGATCCTCCCCTTGGCTCCTCCTCTCCCACAGCCCTCCCCTTTCCCCCTGGGTTTCCGACCCTTTCCCGGCTGTTTCTCCGTACAAATCCAACGAAACTCCTGGAATTCCCATTCCCAGCCCGGTTCAGGATGGGTAAGAGATCCCAAAATCCCCAACAATCCCAAAAAAAACCAAAATCCCGGGATTTGCTGCTTTTGGCTTCCTGGGGTTGGAGGGGGGGGGGAGGGGGTGAAAGTCCGGCTTTTCCCTGGATTTAAATATTTAAATATCCCCTAAAAACCCCGTGGGTTTTAATTAAGAGCTCGAATTCCTTCATTAAAATCCATTTTCCCTCGAATTAATTGGGAATTTATAATCCCTAAATTTCCAAAAACTGGGAGAAACTCCTGGATTTGCTGCTTGGCAACAGGAAAAACCCTCGGAAAAATCCTTAAAGATCAGATTTGAGCTTTTCCCTGACGTGTTCCGCATTTATGGGGATAAATCCTTGATTTCCAGGATCGTTTTCCTGATTATGTTTTGTGAGGATAAAACCTCGGATTTCCAGGAACTTTGACTTTTGGCTCTGTGGGAAAAGTGGGAGGGGCCAAAAAGTTGCAAGCCGTTTCCATGGGAAACAGGAGTTCAAAACAGGGGGGAAATATCAGGAATTTTGGGATCAAACCCAGCCAAACATGAGGAATTAGTAGCAGGAATGTGTAGCCAAAAAATATCAATATTCTAACCAAAGATATACTGAATTTCCTGGAATTTTTTTCACTCCCAAGTGGAATTTTTTGAGGAATTTTCTTGGGTCCAAGTTCCTGGAAGTCAATAAATAACTTTGGGAATGATTGACACGCCTGGTATGATCTGGGAGCTCAAAAACTTGGGAATTATGGAAGGAAATAAATCCTGGAATGTTCTGAAAAATGAACTCCCTAAATCCCTTGACAATTTGGTTTTTTGGGAGAAGATTCCTGAAATTCCTGGTTTTTTTCCAGTGGCTCCTCTGTTGTTTGCAATTGAATTTGAATTTAATTTTTCCCAAATTTACTCTGGATTTTCTTCCCTGGAACTTGGAATATTTTTGATATTAAACCCTGGAATTGCACAGAAACTCCCATTTTTTTCCAGCTCTTGCTAAAATCCCAAATTTATCACTCCTAATCTGGCACTTTGGGACAACTCAGGGAGCCCAAAGTTGGGATAAATTCCAATGGGTTTTTCCCCTGGAATGAGCAAAGGCACAAAAATTGGGAATTGGGAATTGGGAATGAGGAGCTGGGAATAAGGAATTGGGAATGGGGAATTCCATGGATTTAAGGCTGGGAGATGGCAGTGGGGAATTGCCAATGAGGAGCCAATGGAAGGCCCCAAATTCCCAGGATTTTTGGGATGTGGAAGTGATGGAATTTTGGCCTTTTCCAGCAGGAAAATGCGGAGCGTGCGGGCCGGGCTATGCCAGCCCTCTGGAGGCCATGCAAGGCAAGTGCTGGAATTGGGCATTCCCAAATGCTGGAATTGCTGGGAGCTCTGGAATCGGGGATCTGAGCCCCAGGTGTGCCCGCAGGGCCCCGGGAGCAGCTGCTGTACCTGCCCTGCATCTACCGGAACACCGGGATCGGCATTCCCGACTTCCTGGCCACCGTGGACGTGGATCCCAAATCCCCTCGGTACTGCCAGGTACGGGCCTGGAAGCGCCCGGGGGATCCCCAGTCTGGGGGAGCCTGCGATCCTGAATCTGGCAAAATCCAGGGGAATCTGGGAGAACCTGGGGTCCCAAATCCGGGAAACTTCAGGAGAGCCTGGGGTCCTGAATCTGGAAAAATTCAGGAAAACCTGGGGTCCTGAATCTGGAAAAATCCGGGGGAGTCTGGGATCCCAGATCTGCGAAAACCCAGGAGAACCTGGGGTCCTGAATCTGAGAAAATCCGGGGGAATCTGGGAAAATATGGGGGAATCTGGGAAGATCCAGGAGAACCTGGCATCCCACATCCAGGAAGATTCAGGCTCCCAAGTCCTTCCCAGCCCTGGCAGGGACAGCAATGCTGGAATTTGGGGAAGGGGGATCTGGAGCTGGATCCCTGTGGTTTCACAGGTGATGTTCCACAGGTAATGTTCCACAGGTGTTGTTCCACAGGTGATGTTTCACAGTGATATTCCACAGGTGATGTTTCCCAGGTGATGTTTCACAGGGGCTATTTCACAGGTGATGTTCCACAGGTGATGTTCCACAGGTGATATTTCACAGTGATATTTCACAGTGGTGTTTCCCAGGTGATGTTCCACAGGTGATATTTCACAGGTGATGTTTCACAGGTAATGTTCCACAGTGATGTTTCACAGTGATGTCTCCCAGGTGATGTTCCACAGGTGATGTTCCACGGGTGATGTGATGTTCCACAGGTGATGTTCCACAGGTGGTGTTCCACAGATGATGTTTCCCAGGTGATGTTCCACAGGTGATGTTGCACAGGTGGTGTTCCACAGATGATGTTTCCCAGGTGATGTTCCACAGGTGATGTTCCACAGGTGGTGTTCCACAGATGATGTCTCCCAGGTGATGTTCCACAGGTGATGTTGCACAGGTGATGTTTCGCAGTGATGTTTCACAGGTGGTGTTCCACAGGTGATGTTTCCCAGGTGATGTTCCACAGGTGATGTTCCACAGGTGGTGTTCCGCAGCTGATGTGATGTCCCACAGGTGATCCACCGGCTGCCCATGCCGCACGTGGGGGACGAGCTGCACCACTCGGGCTGGAACGCCTGCAGCAGCTGCCACGGGGACCCCGGCAAGT